TAAAGTAGATGCAAGCGAAAGTAAGACCACTGCCGCATGGCCCAGTCGACACGCGAAAATCCATAGACTCCTTTAAATCTGCCCGCCGTTTAGTTTCAACTACCTTGGACGACCTGACTAGAGGCGGTCATACCGTATTTCGATTACCGCGGGTGGGTTGCGTCGTATGAGTAATAATTTTTTCCATATTTAAGTCATCTTTCGCTGCATGAAAAGGCACAAAATAACTGCTAAGAGCATTGGTTTGGCATTATCTGTTTCGCAGTATACACGTTAGTTCTGTTGTTGCTTCCTAACTTGATCTGTGGTCCAAACTGCTGTAGTAAACGTCAACACCTTTATATTTAATTGTTGTACTTCTTTCAGTTGGTTTTTTTCAAGGAATAACATTTTTTAATAATTAATGAGTGTTGTCTGTAGTGCTTCATGCTCAAGTGAAAGTTCAGTGGAAGTAAGCGAAGCGTTTCAACGTATTATACTGAACAAGCGATTCGGAAGCTGGATTGAATTTGATAGTGCGCTAAAGGATTTTCCTAAGGTATCGCAAACACACAACAAAATATTGGGAACGTACGTAGGGCTATTGGTAACCGCAGAAACAATTGGAAGGTATCCTTGCCGCCATCTGCTACTGGCATATGTTAAAAGATGAACAATTACAGGAAAACTTAATCACTTAATACAATAATAATAATGCATATTATAATATATATTTCTGCATGTGCAGGTACACGCCATTTTTACGGGCATGATCTATGAATTACAACATTCGTTGGTGCACAACATGCTTCCCAACTTATTAAGTTTATAGTTGTCATAAAGTAGACTCGTAGAGCGAAATATAAACTATATAGCTCATCACATTCTTAGGCGTTGTTGTAGATGGAAGTTAGATAATACTCACAACTTACAAAACAACACAACAGTCCCATTACTGAGACGGAGTGAAGAATATATACAAATTCAATGGATCCGTAGAATGTGCAAACAACAAATCATTGAAAAATATGGTGAACCATTCGCGAAACAGGTGGAGAGAAAAGTCTATAATTTTTACTTAAGAATTATTAACAACTAGACAGCACGTTTGCGATGAAAAGTTATTTGTGGCTTTATTTTTGACTTCATTATATATACAACTTGTAAACTTATCTTTCATCTTTAGTAATCATGACAAATCAATAAACCTTTTCTCAATTTTTATTTTCGACTTCTTCATACTTTCATGGGGAGGTATACCAATAGTTTTAACGAATAATTGTGTGTGAGAATTAAGAATTTGCACTACTGCACTAGTTTCCAAGTGTCGTTAGAACTTAGCGTTATATCATTATTGATTGAGACGAACCAACGAGTCACGTAGAAAAGTAATGCGACTTCCACGTAAAACCTTACAGATTAGGCAACCGCCTGACATATTTCCCGTTATCGGATTACGTCTATTATTAAAGTAATATCAGTACCGAACTAGACAATTTCATGCAGTTAGTTCCCTGGTAAGATGGCTTACGTAACTCTTAAACCAACATTCCACTCACACTTATTTGCTAACTTTGTCCTCTTAAATTACATGAACTCTTCAAATTGTATTCAATTATTTCATTAGTTTGTAATTCGATGATTTATTCATTATCTCTAGGATTATCGCACAATTTATCTTATCTGCTTCTGAAGTCCATTTGACTATTACACCACCTATCCCTAATGTTTCCTTAAGTCCAACACCAAATAACCTTTGACTTGTTCAAGCATATATATAGCTATTATTGATAACCTAGGTCATTCCAATTCTTTGCTTTCTATTATGTTAGTTGTTTCGTACTATTTATTACCTCATTGTTAAATTATAACACATATTTGGTTACATGCAGTTTGCGAGAAAACAAGAAATATAATGCAGTCACATTATTCTGCATCAATATTTGTTTTGGCTTTATTTAGACTATAATTATACATACTTATTGGATTTATAATGTAAAACACTGAGTGTGGTTGTTATATTTATATTTAAATAATTCATTAGATGAATGAACATGGCAGTAGGCAATATAAAACAGTTATCGTAAACTTGTAAACCGGTTTTCCGCAGGACCTTTCATAATCATAAATTCCACAAGCTTCATACTATTCTGAAAAAACAACAAATCAGTCTTGAGACAAACCATTAAACTCTGTTATCAGTATCAAATTCAAAAAGTTAATCGAATAGCAGGTAATAGAATGTACCTATAATTCTCTTATTTGTAAACAGTGCTATTCATCAGAGACTTTGGATTCCGTTAATAGAAATTCATTGGTAATCTTTGGAACAGACACATCACAAATTAATGTTATTTACAAATTGCTGTAGTTACTGTGATCACAACATACAGGCACCGTTCGACTTATGAGGAAAATGTGACTAATTAGTGTGGCAAAAGGAAGATATGAGTGCTATAAATTTGTGATTTAGCTTCGATTGCTCGTTCACCTTTCATCACGTATTTTGCATGAATTACTTTGGACGGGTCAGTCTGTAATGTAGCAGGAATTCAAGAATTAACTCATTAATAGTTGTTATTTGGTTCTAGGGTTATGTCGTATCAAGAACTGTGAGCTTCACAGTCTTATGACATTGGTTTGTACCAAGTTTATGATGTGAATGAAATGTTAATGGTTTCACAGCTCATTTTGCTTTAAAACTCTGATTTCAGTATATTTATGACTTCACTAGCTGGTTACAAATAACCTATAAGTTTCTTATTTCATGTAAACAGCGCGCTTCCTTTTCTAACCCTTCTAGTATTTTACCTAGACATTTGATATTAGCAAAAAATTGGTAAGCAACATTTAGATACTACTCGACAATATGCATTATAACTTTGTTCATCATTTGGTCAGTGATTGTGGATTCTGTTTACAGAAACCTATTCATGAACCCTATAACAGACACATCATAAATCAGTATTAACTACGACATGGTTTTGTCACCATGCTCAAAAGAAACACTCATCGTTTTACTTATGAAGACTTTGTGACTACCTAGTGTGGCACTTCCAGTGGTGTTATACGCTGTTCCTGTATGCGTTCAGTAAGTGGATGGAAAAGACTATCATCGTCAATTGTTACTCACATATTTCTTCTCGGATACGTTACATAAGAGTAAGTCACTTCAGTGCAAAACGATGATACTTATAGTGGATATACCTGTTTACAGCTATATATTAGCAAGTTATATAATGTTCATAAATAGTTTAAAGCTTAATTGCTTCAACCTACATTTTATAAATAACTACCAACTCCCATGTTCATCATGACCGTAATCAAGGATGTGAAACAGATATAATAAGTTTTAAAGCTTATTTTCATGAAAACTCAATTTTGTGATCTATTTTTCCACTTGAAAAATGGTGAATTTTACTTTCTTAAGTTGGCATTGTTACAAATAACCATATTAGGCTTACCAAAGTTTCACTTAGGTGGTGAGCAGCAAATACGTCAAACTACTAATAAACTGGAATAAAACCTATGTAACAAGCACAAACGTTACGGAAATTGACGTGGGATGGAAAAAACACTGTTAATAGCTGATAAATAACGACACAAACAATCCACGACAATGTGTAACATGTGCGCGAAAACCTCTGACTTACCCTTAATGCCCGTGCCGGCAAGTACACTGCATACGATTAACTGATGCGCGTTGGTTGTCCTTGACCATGACGAGGGTCGATGATTTGCTCCATTTTCAATGATCAAATTGCCGGATGATATGGCTAGATCTTAGCGACACTTCGCTGGCCCAACAATACAAAATCGCAAGGGGAAAGTCGACATTATTTAACATTACTTCTCAAAGGCTTTTGATAGGATCAACCATATATGTCTCTCCAATGAGCTCAGACGATTGGGTATGAAATCACCTCTAATTAGCTGGTTCACTTCATATCTAAAAAATCGACATTTAAAGGTCAGGGCGAACTTCGCTTTCTCTCAGGCTATGGAATGTCTTAGTGGGGTCCCCCAGGGTTGAGTACTAGGACCTCTTCTTTTTTGACTTTTATAAGTGATCTTCCACAACAAGTATCGTCTGACTAATCACTTTTTGCTGATGATGTAAAACTTTGGAGAGAGAGAGATACGCAACCAAAAGGATATAATGGCACTTCAGGAGGATGTGACTAGACTTCAAAGATGGGCAGGCGACAACGGACTTACCTTTAACACTTCAAAGTGTAAAGTAGCCCATCTGAGACATGTTGCAGACTACAGTTAGAACTTAGGAAACTCCTCTCTAGAAGTATCTCAAGTTGAAAAAGATTTAGGAGTGCTGGTACCCCATGATTTGAAATCTTACGCTAACTGTGACAAAATGCCTTTCGAGAAAACCTCACATTGGTAACATTGAAGGGCATTTTTGGCTAGTTTGACAGAGGAACTTTCCACATGATCTTCAGCAGTTTTATTCGTTCCCATTTAGAGTATGGAAATATAGTATTTCCTCCCTCACTCCAAAAGGATAAGGACGCTCTGGAGCGCATCCAACGGCGAGCCACGAAATCAGTTCAGAGACTCAAATTCAAGCCTTGTGAAGAGCGTCTCCAGTCAATAAACCTTTGCCCACTAGAGTATAGGCGTCTTAGAGGCGATCTTCCAGTCGCTCATAGTATCCTTAACACTTCTGCACATCCCCTTAAGTTTAGCTCTAACACAAACCTAAGGAGTAACACCCAGAAACTAAAGACACAACTACTACTCTCTAAGATTTGTCAAATTCTGGAATTTGCTGCCGGATGAGCTAGTCCAAGCGACTTGCCAGGAGTCATTTAAGAGGCAACTTGACCTATTCTTACGGACTAAGGATAATATCTTACTATGATTTACCAATTCCCTTTTCCTCTATTATCGTGAATATACCTAGATTCCTGCCTAGAGGTATTGGCGATCCACTGCTATTAGATACGGAATGCCGTTAAGCGAAAGCTTCTTTTATTCCGTCGACAACCATTTGAACCATTTGAGGTCATAGTCAATCAAGGTGACGCCGGACTGATGACCTTGGACCGGTTTAAAACTATAAGCTGTAAGTCAGACGTCGGCGTTCTTGTTTTGGCATTGGTTCTTGTAATAAGCGATATGAGTCGTTCTTTGCAGTCCGAAATACCGAAGAGGGTTAGCCCCATCTCGGATTTCGGGAAAGATAAAAATAATACTATTAGGTCACACTCCGATGTTATCTGGAAGTACACTACTTTGTGGCACCTTCACCGTTAAATATTGAAATAACTTCCAAAAGGTGCATAAAGAAGAAAAGCCCGTCATGAGTTTGAAAGATATCCTGTTTGGTGGCACTTTTGAAGCGTACTTTCATATATTTAAGCATATATCCTTGAAACACTTTCAGGTTTTAGTATGTGATTCGTGTTTCTTCAACTAAGTGAACTCATATTGAATGCATCATGGTTACATATTATTATTATTATCATTATTATTATTCTTATTATTTTTGGGACAAATATCGGTACAAAGGCGCACCGAATACATATGCGCCACACAAGTCACTTGATTTGTGTGTGGGCTGTGATACTGCTCGGGTGCCCAAACTGAAGCAGGATGATTACATCTAGATAATACATTAGTCATTCGCATGTCTGATACTCTAGTTTATTGAGATTTAATAATCAGCAGTCAAGACAGTCTTTTGTTCGTATTCTGTCATGTAATCAAATTTTCCAACCTGAGTTTTACAGAATTATTACAGAAAATCGCTTAAAAGGAGGGAATATTCTCAACGTTTGAAATCGGTATAAAAAATCAATGACTCCTACATCCATTTTTTGCCTTAGTCCTACCTTGTATAATCGATTTCTAAATATTTGTGCACAGTGTAGTCTAGTCTGGTTTTATTGTACTGTAACTAAATGCCCAACTGTTTAGAGAACGCCCAAGTTTTAGGACAGTAAATTGGACACTATTAACAACTAACAGGGTCTTTTATGATTCTGAGTACGGGTGTGTGTCTTTATTTTTTTCTAAGTTAGTTGTATTTCTGGTGAAATATTTCTGTCGGAAGTTGTTGTTTGTAGCGCTATGATCAATTGTCATCAACAACCGGTTCAACGTTGGTAAAATGCTTGAGATAGTGTATCTAATTCTTAACAACGTAGTTTGTAAAAAACTTATTCTTCATCCGGTTTATACAGATTTGTTTCATTTCGCTCACTGGATATATGCAATATGAACGTATTGGGTTCACGAGTGATATTCGTTTTTTTCAACTAATCTTGTACCTATAACTGCTCCCTTCTGTTTAGTTTTTTTTATTTTGTGTAATCAATACGTCGTTGGTAGGGGTCCGTGTAACTATTGTAACCATTTATTGAAGTCTGTGGGTGACATAACTCAAAATATATCACAATGGCGTCGGTGTATACACTCTTGCTTTTCCTTTAAACCATGAAGTTAAAATTGTTTTATATCTTTTTTTGGAGAACTGTTTCTTTTTTCCTGTACTATATCCTTATACACAATTTTTCTTTTAAATATTTCTACAATTGAAGTAAGTACAATGATTTTGGTGTTCATCTTGTTGTGCTAATGAGGTATGGCAACTTGGACTGATGCATATATGTGCTTAGTTCTATGTCATAGGTGACTGACTGATGGATCGTTATCTTTGTCGTCCAACTATTAATTACGTCATTCAGAAGTATAACGCTTTGCTACAGAAGCTGTTTATCACTTTGATTTCTTTCCAACTTTCCAGTGTAAACAAGTTCCATTGTTGACAATACTAATCCCAATCACTAATATATTTAGCATTCTAACAGTCGACGTTTAATTTTGATGTTGTATGTAAGTTGTCGACTTCATCTTGATATTTTGTCAGTATGTCTCAAAAACAGATCAAGTCCTTTTGGTTGATCTTTTAATTTTCTTTAAATAGGATGTCGGATGATATATGGGAGGAGAGTGCTGTCAAAGGATTTCAATTTGATTTAGAGGAAGCAGATAATACTTCAAGTAGTTTATCACTAAATTCTACCATCATACTTTGTTTAGCGTACTCTCATATTCTCGGTGATAGCTTTGGTGAAACATTTTGTGATGAATCAATAACAATAGGTATGAATCTCAATTAGTATCACTGTGATAATCTAAATTTCACCTAACAGACTTTAACAATCAATTTTGTACAATATGCCATAACTTAATCGGTAATGAGATTTACTATGAAAAAGATGCTACGTTCTGTTCAGAGGTTCAAATACAATACAACAGTTCTTTAAATTTTGATCTTTATTGTAACAGGCATGCTGGTTGAAAGCAATTACAATAGCTCTTGATGATTTTGTTGTTGGGGGAATGAGTACATGGCCATTGAGTACTTTTGTTTCACAATCTTCTAAATCAGTTATTTTAAATTTGACTACAAGCACTTTTGATGGAAATTTAATTACAAAGGTTAACATCCGCTTTCGAAATCTATCTATTTCAAATTATCACTTCTTACAGATTGTTAATGAACTTAGGAATTCATTATCAGAAAGCACTTTTGAAAATATTTTGCTAAAAAACCCCGTAGCCGGGTTTCATTTTCTTAACTTCCTTAGAAATACTGGACAGTTAGTAGACTTAAAGAAATATATGAAGTGAGTTAATTTGGGTATAAATAACTTCATTTGTTCAGAATACTAGGTTTTATCAGAGAAAGTGAAGTAAGCTTACCTTGTATCTCAACTTATTTACAAAATGCTTGTTGCTGTAAAGATTTCTAGCTATAGTCAGTTGATGCAAAAGTTGATGAATTTATCGTCGGGTCATGTAGACGAAGTTAATAAACATTTAATGCAGATTGCAGAGTATTTTAAAATATAGTTTTTTTACTAACTTCGCTTAGATCTGAAGTAGCCTCAAATCTTGCTGTTAAAAATATTGTTGAAATCTCTTCTGAATTGGCTGTTATCTTGGATTATCAGAACAGCTATGTATTTATTTCTGTTCACTCGATAATTAGTGTAATTTGTTTATATTAGGAAAAAGAATGGAGTTCATATTACAGTGAACTTCTTATACGTACAAACGCCCAGAAAAACGCTACTACACTTCCTGAGAGTTTGTTGATGCAGCCATTATGCGAAACTCTTGGTGCATTGGCGAGGATGGATCAAAGCATTAAGACCAATAGTCGGGCTGAAACTCTTGGGAAAAAGTTCAAAGCACGTGGTTTTTAAAATTTGATTTGAAGTAGTTACTTTTTGCTCTTAATAATATTAAGCTACGTTATACATATGTATGAGATTTAGTTTTCGTAATTTTTATATGGAATGTTCTAACCAGTCATTATGTTCAGTCGGCATATTATCCCTTGGTTAGAAAAAACGTACAGGTGTATACTAGTCGGATGATGTAAACAAGAAGAAATATAGGCTTAAATATCTCATAAGCAGTCACTCAAGTATTACGGTCTAACCATAACTGTTATCTTGACATGACGGTAAAATTTGCTAAATATGATAACCAATCATGTTACATTTACTGAGACGTTTGTCTCTTATTCTTTAGCCATGCAAATTATTTAGAGGAAGTTAAAAGCAAAATCATTTTTGAGTTCCTCAAAATCCATAAAACCAGGGGTTTTGGTGGAGGACAGTCCTTTAAATAAATAAAACACTGCTCTACGGAGTCTCACGTCCTGGTGATGGCGTTTTTACCTTATGTCGATCAATCAAACCTGAGACTTATATCAGAATTCAAGAATACAGGTGTACTTGCTAACACTATATTTATTCTTAGATACAACCATGCTACTCAACGTTCATTAGAGTTTGTCGTATGCTTATCACTGGTTGGCACATACAATAATGGATCAGCTTACTAAGATCTCTGAACTCAGACTTATGACCACAATCAAGTTAGCAGTTGTTGATTGTGTGAAGTGATTACTTGAAGTGGTTTCAGAATTGCCCACTTTCTGGATTCATTCTCTTGAAAACCATTTGAGCTGTATGCTAAGACGAAGGTTCCTCAGTCGGGATCCACGTAAATTATAGGGCATAGCCTAAAATCAGTCAGCGATCTAGGTACGCTCTTTATCTTTCTCTGAATTTTAGATATTTTGGGATATTATGCCTTTAATTAGTTCCGTTACTTTGATTTTCCACTATTGTTGACCTTGATATATATTCTTTATTGAATCTCGCTTTCTGTGTTAATTTAAAGTGTAGCAAACTAAACCGATAACTTCTTTTCCAGTTCTCATGTTTTTTTACATATAACAAGCCAAATGGTGAATAGCCTCCCACTTACCCTCAATCTAGTATTCTCCTTTGAATGCTGTATGGTAAATATGTTGAGTAGATGCTCTGTCAATTTCTCCACTGTTCGATGCCTATAATTCACGTAGACATTTCATGCTGACGCTGGTATGCTCTGAAATAACTAATAGTTAATTAGACTCTTATATCAGTTGTTCACACCAAGATAAAGATGTTTGGATTTCTTTGAATAGTGTGTTCTGGCTATCGGAATTGTCTTCTGATCCTTACATTACTTGTTTTCTACGTTCACATTCAAATTATTTTTGTCATGCGTCATAGGTTTTTTGTTTTCTCTCATCGTGTGGAAATAATTCTTGTTATATATTACTAATAATTAATATCCTTATATTTCAGATATCGGATGAACAGTTTAGATGGTTGTTGATAGAGCCCCTTGTTCAGTCACGAAACTGGGACGATCTGGAATTTATCATGTTAAAAAAGGTAAACTGACTGGTTACATAAATCGACTATAATTTCTAAAGAAATCTTTGTCGCGTCGTATGGAGGTTACCATCCCAACTGACCGTTTTATCCTTCATCTCAATTCATTAGGTGTCCCAAACAATGTAAGTCGCTTTGCAGTTATTATTTCATAATATCCACTTGTTCTACAACATGTAATTCTGCAAAGAAAATAAAGAACATTTAAATGACCCAAAACTACAAATGAATTGTCATATATTTTAGTACTATTTTAGAGTAAGTAGATAAAAAGAACAGTACAACTGACATCCATTTTGAGATGCATTTTTAATTCCATCTGCGTTGAGGAGACTATTTATTTTTCATCAGAAATAAATTGTTGTAACTCTAGGTTTGATGTTTACCTACGTGAAATGACGCTTTGTTATGGTACATATGAGACCTAATTGTTACTGGGCTTCTATTAATCTTGGGTTGTTTCTATATCAACGTTGTAAGTAGTTGATTTGGAACTTTACAGTTATATTGTTGTGGTTGTATCCCCTATTTTAAACCTGGTAGATCAGAAATATATTCCTTAAAAAGGTAGATCATAGCATTGACGAATTGAAAGACTTACATTTTCACTCATTTGCGAACTAGTTTACTGAACACGGCTCAGTTAATGTATTGCGAAATCTTTATAACTTATCAGGAATATCACCACACTCAGAGATGTCTGTTTTTTGTAAATAGCCCCAGATTGATGTTAGTATCCTGTTCAAATCTGTTATCTAATGGTCTGTCACTTAAAACTATATAACACAAATCAATCTTGTTCTCTTTACCTCAAACAACTAACTGTCAGGGGGGCACTATTTAACTATTTGGGGAATCATACCGGAATCTCACATCTTGTGATCGTGTCCTTGACCTTTAATCTCTCATGTATTCTATCATATCTAGTCGGTCTTATTATCTCTCTAATGGTTATTTACTTTAATTTTTATTGTGAAATGAACTCCATCATTTCCACTCAGTATATTAATGCACACTGATATATAAAACTTCATTAGTTTTCTCGTTTAAATACGGCTTTTTAAAATAAAATTGTCGAAAAAATACTGATTGAACGTCATCTTCAAACATTTTTTTGTTTTATCTGTGATTACGAAAACCTACCATCTTGAGGATATTATTTGCTTTTGAGTTTAGATATGATCAACCAAGGGCTATGAACATGGGTTTACTGTTTGTTAACACTTATCTGTAAACTTTATTTAACTGAGAGTTCCACCCCATTCAGAGACCTTACCAATGAGCTAGCTATCTGATGACTTGATTCTTTTCAGACTAAGTAAAAAAAGTCGGTTAGTAGATGGTAATGAATTCAGTGTCTAGTCCTTAGAGGTTGTCGATTTCTAAGATGAGATTTGGTGAAGAAATCCTTCCTCGGGAGTTTCTCAAAACTGTGAATCTGCACAATGATAATCTGTAGTATTTTTGTGGGTAATAATAACAGGATAATAGTATAGCACAAGTTTCTAAAGCTTATAGGTTACATACACAGTAAGAGGTCGGAGCGGTACTGTTTACGTACACAATTCGCGCATTCCTGTTTTTACAGAATTGGCTACAGTGATGCCAATAAAAACAAGATCATTGTTTTTAAGTCACCATCAGTTGAGAGAGAAATCCGACCATATTTCAGGCCACGCGTCTTGGGATTTCTGAACCTATAGGAAACAGATTATTTCTACTTTTAACTTCAGTAAATATTTCGACAGCAAGTTACAGTGCCGACCAAAGTACGTTACAAATAAAGTCTATCAGCAAGATTCCAATATGTTACATTAGATATGGCAGTAGATTGAATTCTAGGAATCATGGTTTTTATTATAGCCTATTTCTTGGATAAGAATAAAATATCTTTCGATAGATTTCCTGATAATGCAATCAGCTCCTTAACTAGTAACACCCCATTTATACACAATCTGGCGCCTAGTGGAGTTCTTACCAGCTGACTCGATAAAGTAGAAAGAACTAATATTGCAGTTTCTGTAGCATACAACCGATTACGCTGCTCTAAAGATACTATCTAAGGTTCCGAACTTAGTCAAAGACCCACCAACTACCTGGCTAAAATAATTTCCTATATTTCGAAAAGTCATCTCCTACCTTCATCTCGGTTACAAGTTGCTAATATGCGGTTTCTGTCCTTGCATTTAGGTATAAACCCTCTGAATATGAATGAAGGAATCTTTGAACTTGCAAGCCATTAAAGGTACATATCTAAAGTGTATCATGTTCACATACACTTCCTGCCACATTAACTACATCTCTTGGATCTAGTTGTTTCGTTTTCTTCTTGTTACACTCAGTGAAACTGGTTGCCCATTACTAATCTGCTTTTGCTCAGTTTTGGAAACTGATAGCTGTTGGTACTCAAATGTAGTCATAATCTAGGTTTAAATTTTTATTCAATTACCTCAACTAGAGTGATTATTTATGAAATATTTAGTTTAGTTTCGATAGAATAGTGAAAAGGCAGTGTCGTAGTATGGTATTGTCAATATATTGGTTATATCCACATGTCTATGAAAAAAACTGTTCTACATCTGATATCATAGGTAGATCTTCAAATAAACTCGTTCTGAGGAAATTATGTTCCCATTCTTAGAACACATAATGATATTTTCTATGATGTTTGTGAAATTAACTGAGTGATACATTTAAGACAATTATAGATTTGTTGAGTCAATGAATTAAGGGTTAATCACTTACAACGGTATTACTGTTAAGTTATTTCATAATCTGAATTTTCATTGTGTTTCTCTTTTTTAGATTATTGAAAGTTACTTGAAATATCTAAGTGATGATGAGTTTATACAGATTGTTATTCGGTTAAATATGGTCGATGAAGCGGTTAAAGTAAGTTAAATTGTTTGTAACAATTTATAACGAACAACCCTTATGGCTACACATTATTCAACGTTAATTACAGTTACATTCATTATATAGGGTTCCATCATATAGTCCCATCACAGCCTCTAGTACTTCCAAAAATGGAGGTTTACTTCCCATTAGTGAAACAGTAATTTGGTGGAAGATTTAGAAAGGTCTCCAGTGCATTTAAATTTCTGTACTTAAAAACACAAAAAGCGGAATTAAATGGAATCACAATTGTAGCCTGCAGTACAATATGTTGAAAAGGGCATGTATCAAGCACTATAGTACTCTTATTCTTAACAGGTAGAAATGTAGTGAACGAGAATGCAAGTGGGAACAACCAAATGTGTTTGAATCCAAAATTACAGAATGTCTTATTAAAGTCTGAGAACCATACAGAAAGTACTTCATTTGCAAAATGTCCATCAATCGTCTCAGACTTCATTATTCCTTCATTTCCATAACAATCACTCTCGTCCTCTTTCAGATCTTCTCAACCCTCTGCCGCCAGCTATCCCACTTTCGGTTGGTGACATATACTACTCATATCTGTCGACATAAGTAGAACACACTACAGTTACATCCTAAATGTCAGTTCACCTCAAGAAAATTTGTAAGTTATGTCTATCCGGGAGATTAGCTAACTGTGAGTCACTCGCCGGTGTAGAAACACGTAAACTGACAGTCGTCTGTTACATCAATCACGAATTTTTCAGTTGTTTTCTTTTCATTTCGACATTCTAGTTTGTCGTTATAGTTAAATATACGCGCTCAGAATAATAACTTCTGATCATCAAGTTAAAAAATGTAACAAAGAATTGATATACCAGCCATAATATTATTCCTAGTCCGGTAAATTACCGCACGATTATGATAAAGTACACAACGCACATATCCAGATAGAGCAAATGAACCTTAATTACACTGTTTCACCGTGAAATTCAGTTTGAGATATTCCAAAACGTACCAGTTCTCAAAGCATCTGAATAATGTCTTTTATTTCAGCTCTGCTTGGAAAAGCGAAATATCAACGCTTTGAAGGAACTCATGTCTCAAATACCTGGCAATCATCAAAAGAAGAAAGAAATATCTCACTATCTATCAGTTCCTGTAAGAAATTTTTTTATTCTTATACTTGACGTCGTTAACTAAATGGTAGTAGGTACTGCGGCAAATATGTTTCGTTGGATATTTCGATTATGGTATTGTGTCATATCCGAAAAACACGATCCTCACAGAGATAAGCTAGCTTACGTGTAAATTGGCGTTATATAATTCGAACGAGCGAGCAGTTAATCGTTTAAAAGTATTTAGAGCATGCGTTTTGAAAGTATCTGGTCAGCCGAAAGCTTTATTATCCTGGTAGCCGTGAACTTCGGTTTCGAGGCAAGACATTACCTGTGTAACGGTAAAACTGACCACTATATTTTGACAATTCCGTTTATCAGACCGGGACTCTTTTAGTGTTTGTCAAATATTGGAACTCCAAGGCTAAAGATAAGGTCCTCCAAATAAAGCTAGGAATTTTTAATTTGATCATCACATACATTTATAGACTTGCCAATCACGCTCCTAATTTGGATTCGCTTCACTCACTGTTATATCCAAATGAATACATACCGAAACTTAATATCTTTGGAGTCAATATGAGTCGTTATAAGACATCAAGATATAATGAAGGCTGCTATGCATAATAATAAATTTAAATCGTTCAATTTAAAAAACGGTTTAATTTAGAGAATATTTTCCTGGCATTTTTGTTGTCCGTAAACAGATTTCACATAAAACTTGGTTCTTCATGAACGTGTTCCTAGGTCTTTATAATTATTCACCTATTTCTCCAGTGTTTTGCGATTATATCCCACTGACATTCAAATAAACCAACTGATCGGTGCAGCTGACTAACAAACTGGTGATAAATTCACTTGATCATGACTGAGGGTGTTGTGCTAGATGAAATACATTTAAGCAGTTAATTAAACCTTTGGATTACATCACATTTATTTTATTAAAGAAACTAGCATTTGAAACATTTTCTGTTTCCAAAATACGTATAAATAACGCTAGAATAATCATTTTCTTAATTGTAGGTTGCACAGTGGAAAGACTTTGTTTGTAGACAAGCGTTTTGAAACGAACTTTTCATTTTACATTTTTGAGAAACACTGATGAGCTGGATTTTGAGCCTCGACTTTTGTACGCACATATGTATCGTCCCGTTATCAACTGATATAACAAACGAATAATGGTGAATAATCCTTGCGATTCCCGGGTTTCACTTCGATCAGTATGTCTTTGTAATCGTATTATCATAGTTGTAATTCCAAAGATAATGCAAATGATTGTTTTTATCGTGAGAGTTACGAAGATGTTCTCAATTTCGTGGGATAATAATCTAAAAGGCGAGAAAACTACAATATTATTGTGTTAAAAAATATTCAAGATCTACTTGCAATCTTTTGAAAACTGGATAAGTAGTAGTCCTTGTACCATTTTTGAGCAAACATTATGTACAATGACGTACATACAAACGTACTTATATAAGAGATTTGTTTAGAGAAATATAGCGAGAGCCAAGTAACTTCTTAAAGAATGAAATCTAAATGAAACATTAGATTTGTGCGGCTGTCGTTAAATATTCAGATGGAGACCCTTAATGAATTTTCGCCTAGTTAAGGCTGTTACCGGTGGAAGAGCTCTATTTATTACATTCTACTGGCGGATAGCGAGGCAAGTTTAGTGAAATAAATATTGGACTTACGGACATAATTTTAAAGATAGTTTTCAGTGTTCTTTTTAATATAAAACGAAGTCAACGAACATTTAGTTAGCATTCTCGATATTTCGATCATTTTTTTCATTCTTGTGCAGATACTTTAACAATAAACACAGCAGTTGGACCTTTTTGCCATGTAGTAAACACTAAACGAGAACAGAGCTCATAAACAACGAGTGATATCGAGAAGCAAAAGAGCTGGTACTAAACCTCAATATTCAAAGGAAGATAAAAAAAAGTGAACAACACCTGTGGGGATGAGATTTGTTTTTTCCTGCTTTGAACATAGATTATTATGTTAGCAGACTTCAGTTGTGGAGGATTGCAGTACGTGATATCACTCAAGAAATTACTTGAGCTATATGCACAGCAACGCAGTGAAAATCAATAGGAGTTTCCGTGTCTGTAGAAGTTAGGCTAGCCACTAATTTATCACAGTTGAGTCTCTCAAGAACTGTATAGTAGCTAGTCAATCATATATAGCGTAAGACCTAGCATATACTTATTGGTCAAATTTGTTGCACTGATAGGAAGATGAATACCAAAAAAATAAAGTAATAACAGTAACATCAATTATAGCAGAAAGCTTAGAAGCCTTATTTGGTTTGGAAAATCAGTGTGTTGACCTAATTAAGTGATCGAGTAGATACTTCAGGAAATCTACGCACTACTGTTTTGGTTCTTTAATTAACTTTCGTCGCAAGAACCATTGACTAAATACCGTCTTCTGACAGATTAATACGATTAGTTACTTGTAGAGAAGAAAGTCTGTGTAACAACACCAGAAAATATTTGATTCATACATCTGCAGTCAGGTCTACAACGTACTTTGCTATTTCAGGATTTCTGAGTCTTGACTAGAAATCGAATGAATACGGAAGCTAATAGTTTACACATGATGTGACTTTCGTTTGTAGCGATCTAAAAAGGATTTCCATTCTTTTCATAAAGTAGGACAATGAGGGCCGGTAACTTGCCCCTCGATTATCCAATATCAACCAATCTCTCCAAGAAAAATTTGCCATCACTTTAAGAGATTTTCTGGAAGTAAGATGTCAAGACTTTTTGAGTTACCTTGCCTTAAGGTTATTATAGATGTAACATCGTTTCGAATGGAAGAAATTACTACTGTTTCAATTGGGCTTTTTGTTGGTATTCGGAAAATAACAAAAAGACGATTGAAATATTTCTCTTTGTTTGGAAGTAGATTAATAATCCGTCCTTCGTACGGATAGCTCCAGAGAGACGATTTTTATTCTACGTCTCTTTGATGAGTAGAAAACGGCTCAATCTCACTTTATTAACTTTCATTAACGACGTTTAAGAAAACAACCTTAGTCATCTGTGCATTTGCGTTTCCTTCGATTATTGTTGTCTTTGGAAACCACTGAAATGAGTTCGTAAGACGTTACTGAAGCACTATAACCATTATTATTCTATGTGTTATTAAAAACGTCACCATTGTTTATATAACTGACTAAATATTATCCCAATTTATGTCGACTTAAAAATCCCATTTATAATCAATTAAATTCTTAGGTAGTACCTCCTGAAATATATTTTTAAGATAGAAAAATTGTTGAAGGACCAGGTTTAATAGCAGACAAGATGAAATTAAGTGCTACTGGTGTGGAAGGTAGGTACTTGCTAGTCGTTTACATTGGAATGATATCTCGTTCAAAAATTCGTGGAATCTTATCGACCTGGAAGTGTAACAACTTCCTTTTCAGGTTCCTCAAGAAATACCCTTCCACGGTGTAGGCAGCCGGAAAGTGACATCAGCCCTCATACCCGTAATAGCACACGAGATCAAGTTGGTCACATTCAAATCCTTTCTACACCTCTTAATACCATTCTTATCTCCCCGACTAACCCTTCTCACGACCTTGGGTTTGTTGCTTTTAGTCTTACCGCTCTTCAAACAACTTGTCTAACATGGTAGGACCTTGAGGAACGGTTGTTCCAGCCAGTATAACTCGGTTGCTTCATCACGATAGGCAAGCCCGACCACCACGTCAAGGTAGCAACAACGGTCGGGTATGGATCAGATATTCACACTACGTCAGGTTCTAGGACACAGACATACATTCAGATGCCCCACAATCGTAGTATTTCTTGACCTTAAGGAGGCATTTGACTCTGTTGATCGTAAGGTTTTATGGCAGTGTTTGTCACTGAAAGAAGTACATTAACGTTATAAAGGCTCTCTACTCGAACACAGCTGGTACAGTGAGAGCTTATGGCGAACTGTCATCAGAATTGATTACCTCAAGTGGTGTTCGTCAGGGCTGTCCACTCTCTCCATTCTTGTTCAACTTTTTCGTCGACGTACTTTTGGAGGTAACACTTTCCTCGTCTAGATTTCCAGGGGTTGAACTTCTACCGGGAGCTTCACTTGTTGACTTAGAATATGCTGATGACATAGTTCGATTTGGTGAAGACGCTGACAAAGTGCAGAGTCTTCTGACCACTCTAAGCAACAATGCAAGCATGTTCGGGATGCGACTCTCCCCCTCGAAATGCAAAGTGTTGCTTCAGGGTTAGGTTGCATCGACACCCAAACTAATGATAGAAAGTGATGTAATTGAGCGCGTCCATCGCTTCGCTTATCTTGCAAGTCTCATCAGTCCTTGTGGTCTGCTGTGACGAAATCTCGACTAGCTTTTGCCAACATGCGTCATTTATGGCGTATTTATTTATTTATTTGAACACATAAATATTGGTACAAGAGAGCGCCAATATATATGCACCACACAAAACAATGAGGATGCGAAGAGAAAGAAAGAAAAAGGTGAGGAGCGTGAAAAAGAGAACGATAACGAAGAGGTTGGTGTAAGGTAGTGTGTTAATAATAATTGTAATAATGAGGGAACGGAAAGGTACAATCAGAAGAAATCTTTCAGGTAAAGGAGACACAACCACTTTTTATGAAGAAAGTAAAAGAAGGTTACAGCACGATAGCCACTGGCTTCTATTCTGAGCCATATCTGATAACGCCTCTAGCCACTGTGTTGCACCATCTCTCGGACCCCAAACAGGGAGTCGTGAAGGACCAACACAAGCCAGCCCTATGCAGCTTTCTTTCATGCCACGACACCATGTCATACACCGACCACCTCTCCGCTTCTTCCAACCAGTCTCAGAGTCGGCAAATAATGCACGACGTGGAATTCTCTGGGACGACATTCGGAGAACATGTCCAAGCCACCGAAGTCGGTGTTTCAAGATGGTGACACCAATTGAGTTATCATCTCTGTGCCCGAGCACACGATGCCGAACCTCTGCATTACTGACATGGTGTTGCCACTGAATGTCAGCAATCCTTCGGAGACAGCGATGATCGAACACAGAGAGTCGTCTAACGTCTTCAACTCGGAGAGGCCAGGTTTCACAAGCATAGAGCAAAACTGCTCTCACCGACGCGTTGTAGATCCGACCGTTTGCAGCCAGACTAACATCACGAAGGCGCCAAAGATGGCCCAGATTGGCATAAGACGCTCTGGCTTTCACTGTATGTGAATTGATCGCATCACTCACGCCACCACCAGTACTTATGCAGCTACCCAGATACACGAACTTCTCAACTACTTCTATCTGCTCACCATCCAGGGTGAGTATAGGATTAGAATCCTGTCAGTCTTGTAGAAGTACTTTGCACTTAGAAGTTGCAAGGTACATACCATACCTACGGACACTGATTGCCAACTGATTAAGTGTGGATTGCATGGCTTGGGCATTATCGCACAGTAAGACAATATCGTTCGCATACTCAAGGTCGAGAAGTCTTTCTCCAGGCAACAGATTCACACCACCGTTACTTACATTCATCAGAGCTGTTTCCAGAATTTCATCGATGGCAAAGTTGAAGAGGAATGGTGAGATGCCCTGGTACGGCCGAGAGTGGGGAGAGTCCGCTCTCCCTCTCGAAATACTCTCACACGGCCACGCGTATACAGCCTCTGCCAGGGAAGTCCTACTCATTGCCTTCTCGTGGCGGGGGTGTTGTTTACGAAAATGAGAGGACGAAAAGCGAATGTCCGACGCTTTAACCGGATTCCAAATCAATGGTGCACATGGGCTCCAGTATCCTGCGGGAACGAATGGCGTATGAACCAATTGTTGGTCACCGGCTACCATGGGACTGCATCTCTTTACGATGCTCCACTGCCTTGTGGGTTAGACCTTTAGGTCAAAGGCTCGGGGATTGACCACCTAAGATAACCACCTGCTTCGGTTTGGCCACCCGGGCAGTATCACAGCCCACACACAAATTGATGAATTCTTTATGCCTATGGAAATTACCTTTGTCGCTTTGAAAAACAAACAATTGATTCAGATTATTATCATTACAATTATTGTTATTATTATCATTATTATTATTTTTCACATTATTCACCCTCTTTTATACTTATACAGCGGCTCGGCTTTGGTGGAAATCCGACTGTATCTAAACGTTCTCGAGTCACTGTCCGGTTGAAAATTGTATGTTACCACCGAATACGAGGACTGAAGCAGTTTTTCTGAAACCACGTGCGCCATTCAAACTGGCTGCCTTCAACGTTCGCACATTTATGCAGGTCGGACAACAGATAGGGCTGGCTATGTCTTTGGAAAGTCTTAATATCGACGTGTGTTGTCTATCCGAGACCCGTATTCAAGACTCTGGCGAAGTACTACAAAATCGATCTCCATCTGTCGCTTCGAAAAGCTTGTTTTACGTGCGCTTATCCGGGGACCCTGTGGCATCTTCGTCTGGTCTTGCTGGCGTTGGTGTCGCACTAAGCGCTAGAGCTGAGGCAGCACTAGTCGATTGGATCCCCATTAACAGTCGGTTATGTGATGTTAGATTAGAAAGTTCCATCAAAGTGAGAAGAAACCGGCGTGAGAAACGATGTCTTTTCGTCATCTCCGCCTATGCCCCGACAGATTGCAGCCCGGATACAATCAAGGATGAGTTTTACCACCAGTTATCTGTTCTTCTCCAGAAAGTGCGTTCGACAGATATTGTAGTACTAGCCGGAGACTTGAATGCTCAGGTCGGGCGTCTAGG